TCAAAGCAACATCTTCTGGTTAGTAAAAATTCGGAAAATGTTAAATCACTGATCGAATCCAGGATATGCGTCATATTTGGCAGTCGAACAGGCATTCAAATGGCACCGCATTTGTTATTGTGCGGTGAGAAATACGCTTGGCACTGGTGAGTAAAACAGCAGCTTTCTTTTACCTACGCCACGCGACGTAAATAGTGTCTTAATATAGCCCCAGTCCTTTTGTTTGTCCGCACCACACAATCGGGAGATGCCACTAAGCAGTCCGGCTATCCATTCTCGCCGAAAATAAAGGTCATCCGCATTTCTGATATAATAACTGCGATTTTAGTGATCATCCGACTTGCCGAATTATGATACGTTATGATGGCGGCGGTCATCAGTTTTTAAGATTTAGTCGCAGCGTTTTGATTGGATGCATTTCTAGGATGAGCATCCGGGTGAAGCAATGCCTGTTGCGTGAGCACTGACCCCACTATCGAATCGTAAAATTCTGTCAACGGCAGAAGTTCGCGGCTGAGCGTTAACGTGTTGCGATACTCGGCACTGTCCACCTGTCTCAATGTCACCTGACAGCTAATGCGCCAGCGCCGCCGGTTTCGGGCTATCCCAGTCAGGGACAACTAGCGAACCCACCACGCCATGAGCGAGTGAAACGGAAAGCTCTAATGAAATGAGCTATCGGGACGGGCTGAAGTATGTTTCGAGACGAGGCGGTCTAAAGATCGGCTACTCGGTGCGTCTTCCATCTGGCTGTGCCACACAAAGTGTCGAATGGCACTATAATGTCGCCATAATTTCGAGAAAGAGCCTGCTCATGAAAAATCATGAGCCACCTAGGACAGAGAGCTTTAAATAGCACAAGATGTACAAAAATCGTTTCAACTCAGGTACCACGAGTCACGTACCTCGGGTACCCCAACTCAAGTACCCTACAGCACCGTGTTCAAAACCGCTTAAGTTATCTTGGGGAAGCGTTCGGAAGAGGCCCCTTCTTAGGGATAGAGTTGATAGTTTTCCTCGGCCAAACCATTGTTTGGCTGTTTTTCTTGTTGCTTGATTATGCTCGTCGGTGTTTAACAAACAGCAGTCAAGCCCCTCATGCTGTGAGGGTGCAGGGGCGCGGTGACTCGGTGTGCAAGGCATTGTCACGCGGCATGCGACTCCAGAGCTGGTACGGAGGAGCGTGCGCGAGACAACGTCTGATAATCATATGCTCGTTGTTTAGCTTTTGGGGGGGGGGGGGGGGAGCGGCATCTGCTTGCTTCGCTGCACGAAGGGGCAGCGCCGTTGCTGCCGGTCATGCATTCTCTTGGAATAGCGGACGAAAATATATAGCAAATAGCGCGGTGCCTGTCAAACATAATCTAAATTATGTGACGTTGTATGCTGTTGTATGTTATGTGACGAATTATGTTGCCTCAGCACATTGCAGCGGCAGCTCACCGACACTGCAAAGTCAGTCCAGTGCGGCTACAACCAACGCGTTATCGGAGCCGAAGTTCTTACATTTTTCTGTGGATAGCTCAAAAAGACAAAACGAAACACGCACAATCAGGACGGTGGCTAACGCAGCACCTACAGTTGTCCACCGCCGCATGTCTTGAACCACGGCAGTGGCAGCTCCTTTAACAATATTACGGTATACACCGGCCACCACGGTTACAAAACAACACATGGACAACTGGAGCGGTGGCCGACAATCCCCGCGCAGGACAGCCAGATCTTGATGCTTGGATCATTGATGCTTGGTAGGTAACTCCTTTAACAACACGTCCAGTGTCTTCACAGTGGTCAACGGCCCCAATATAGACTGAGACCGCCAGCATTCACAACGGCGACTCCTTAACATAACAGTTCGCGCCCATCCGGTTCGTATGGTCGCGACTCAGTTATCTTGCACGCGCAGACGCACCGTGTTTCATTTAAAGGTAATTCATAAAGGTCATAAAGATCAACGCGCTCCACAATTGTATGGGGTTTTAAACTGAAATAGTACTCTTGAAGATCGTTTGGTGCAGTTCACAGCCCTGCCCCTTTTAACGCCTATATTCTTCTAGTTTCTGAGCTACACGCCTGCGTGGATGTGCGGACTGTTTCGTGCAGACTATTTATATAATCGTCTAGTGGTTCACATTTGGCGTTCGCGAGCTTGATTTCCAGACATAACGGCCGTCAGTTGGTTCTCAATCATTGTGGTGCAATGTGCGATGATGTAATCAAACAGTGACGTGTTGAGGAGCATATTTTCTAAACAGAAAATTGCTGTCGACAGTGGCCCCTTCCACTTAAAAGTATAGCAATAATTATAAGTGCGCTTATTTAATCCGATCTCATTCTTCCTTCAATGTCTTTAAATGCGGAACGCTCCGTTTACGTAGAGCACAAACCTCCACGGCCACCGCCCACTGCAGCACCTCGCGATACACGACATTGCGTACCCTGCTGGGCTCAACACTTCTACTGCACCGAACTCTCCAACCCGCCGTAGTGCCACAACGACTGGCCATGCGTGCACCCTAGTGGGGCTGGTATATCCCACCCACTCTCTAGCATAGCCCTTGACACCTGTTTATTGTCATTCCAAAGGATACTTTGAGCGGAAATTGTAGCCGACGGAAAGCAAGTCCGAGACCTGATTCAGCTGACACATCCATGGGAATTCTTGGCGAGAGCATTATCCCCCCGTGTAACGGTCCCGCTCGAATACGAGGTTGAAAAACATTGGGTGACATGTGTCCCACAGAAAACAGCGGGCCGTCAACAATCCGGTGCGAGTCTATGCTACTAATTGAGACCACAGGTAATAGGGCATGATACGCCATGCCAGCTATTTCGATGCTGCTGAGGACCGGTTTCAATAGGCACCACCGAATTATTTGTCTCCGGGAGGCAGCCTACCGCCGGTCAGGTGGCGCACGTTCGGCTGCAGAAGGAGGGTCGGGTCCCAGCCCGGCTTCCGAGCCTCTTGACAGTCCATGCCGGCAATCTGAAAGGCACACATGCACGGATGTGATTAGTGAAATGACGGTACAAAAGACACGTACAGCTGAACAGCTCACAGAGAGCTAGGGGTGGAGGCAGGTGAAACGGCGGATTCACTTCATCACCGTGGTAGCAGGCCCCCGGTGCCTCCCCGTCCATCTCAGGGATTCGTGATGAATTATGAATTGTGAACGTATAAATTCATGATGGCGAAAGAATGGGTGCTGAAGACCTTTTTTCTCATGTCAAGTATTCATTTCATTCCAGTTCCAGCTGTTGTGACATGTTTTTCGATCCTCAGGTTTTGCTCTGCTTGCCTTCCTCATCCACGTAAAGTTCTATTGTTACGTAACCCACCAACATGCTTCCCTTCTTGCGCACACTACGGCCGTCAACGACATCGAAGCGGCGTGAAATTGTGGCATGAAACGCCACGAAGGGCTCACATGGTGTGTGGAGCTGCCACCGCCATCGGTGCAGCCGTCTGCGCTGCATGTCTCACCGAAAAACGGTGGGCACACACACACACACACACACACACACACACACACACACACACACACACACACACACACACACACACACACACACACACACACACACACACACACACACACACACACTCACGCGCGCGCGCACACACTTCGTTTGCATTTTATTTGCAGCCCGACAGGATATGAGACAAAGTAACTGCGTTCCCACGCTAAGCAGGGGAAGCTGGTAACTGGTGAAAACAAAATCATCTGTATTGTGACGAAATGTCGCTACGCTTGCGTCCATTTGCTATTGTTATTCACAGTAACCCAGCAAGCATTAAAGTTACGCCCCATCAATATTATTTTCCAAAGGTTTTGCTGGGCTCCGTTGCAATAAGTTGCTGTCTTTTTTGCTGAATATTGGCATAAATTTGGGAATCATCAAGGTGATTCATTTTTAATTCAAGGCCAGACCGTTCCCACCTTGTTTGCTCTTGAGTATCATTCATTTCCAGGCTCTTTCCGAGCTGAATACGCAAATGCGTCTGTCCTGCTATCCTCAACATTTTAAGCAAATTGAATTGAAGGCGCGTGGAACGGTTGCATGCTAAATCGCTTTATGGTTTTGCGGATTGATTTTTCCGGGCAGTTAGACAGCTTTACCTCGTCCATTACCTCGAAGAAATAACAGTGCACAACCATAAAACTGTGGGTGTTAGCATGCATCTATGTCATTAGAATGCAACGTTTGTTTCTGCTTACAACTCCCCCAGGTTAGTGTTTTCCGAATCCCCTGTTTGGTTTTATTGCGCTGCCGTGCTATTGTGCAGCTGTATAAATAATTGCCAGGTTTCATCGCTGACACAGTTCGCCTTCAATTGACGGTAGTCACGCATGATTCGTGGGACATGCAGAAGCAATGCATGCGTTTTCGTTAGTTCCCAAGCCTCTAATTTCTGTAATACCCATTTGATAGATAGGTGCGCATACGTATAATTGATTATATTGTGGATATCCGGTAACACAGCTTATGAAATCGGCCGAAACTGAACACGGGACATGGCATACCCATGCATTTTTCAGTAAGTATGTCTTTCTACATTTTGTAAGAGTGATCGGCGATTGCGTTAAGCTCACTCCTGATATGTTTTATCTATGCCGAAATTTTCTCATCATTCCATGTTCATACAAACAAGAGAATTTTGTTCATGCCAGCCTTGCATGTACCTTAACTTCCGCACATTCAAAACTATGCAACACGGTCATGACATTGCGAGTATCCGCCTTGTGGCTTGCGTGCCACGGTCCAACGTCTCCAATCCTTGCTTCAGCTCAGCCTCCACGCGTGTCCCCTGCTCCCGGCGGCACCGGCGGCGGCGGCGGCGGCGGCGGCGGCGGCGGCGGCGCGTGCCGGGTGACGCGCCGCCGGCTCCAGCCCCCCCCCCCCCCCGCGGCGAACGACGGGTGGGCGGCCCTCCCCCGCGCCCGCCGCCCGTATAAAGCGTCGGCGGCCGGGCAGCGTCCGAGTGGCATCCTGCCAGCGTGTCCGCGACCATGGCGCCGTGTCTGACGCGGAGATCGGCGCTGCTGCTCGCCACCGTGCTGGTCGGCATCGAGGCGCGCCCCTACAGGGAGCAGGTGAGGGGCCGCGGGATACTGAGGCCTCGAGGCGCGCCCCTGCAGGGAGCAGGTGAGGGGCCGCGGGATACTGAGGCCTCGAGGTGCGCCCCTACAGGGAGCAGGTGAGGGGTCGCGGGGCATTGAAGCCTCGAGACGCGCCTCTGACGGGCGCGGGTGAGGGACCGTGGAACACGGACGCAAGGGACAGGTGGGAAAGCCTTAAGCCCTGACCCAGTAAGGGACGGAGACAGTGAAGCAGGGAAATATTGATGGCCCAGTAAGTGGCAGGAACAGTGAAGCAGGGAAATACTGGTGACTTGCGATGGTCAGCTTTGAGATGTGCCGTCGGAAAGGCTGATAGTTCTTTTCATTAGTATGACAGGGATTGACCTCCTAGTTTTTCGGCATTATGGGCTCTTATGATGACAACTAGCCTTCAGTATCATCGGTACAGGTCATCGAGATCTTATGGCTTAGCCATTTGTTTCCAGGAAAGCTTAGCATAGTACCATTCATGGAGCGTTAGCGTAGTACTGTAAAGAGCTGAGCTCCCACAAGAGTGAGCAATGAGCTAGCTCAATCTCGATTAGCAGCCCATAAGGCTTCAGACATTGTGCCAAAAACAGTTCCCAAAAGATTACGGCTCAAGTTGGCGCATGCGAAGGCGATCGTTTTGGTAGTTACAACACCACGGGCTTTTGCGGTACCTGTACTTGTCACCACTGGGCCTAGCACACGCCTTAACACGCGCACGGGTGGGCCGTCAATTTGACCCCCCGAAGGTTTTTCCACAATGGTTCTCGAACGGCGCGGTGCAGCCACACCAAATTTTGCTTAGCTGTATACAACTGAATAGCGAATTGTTTGGTGTCAAAAACTAGATGTATCTTGTAAGGTCACTGACCTACGGCAGGTCAAAATCAGGCCATGAATTCAGTGAAAACAATTTCTAGGAAATCGTTCAACCTGATGCAACAATAGTGTTGGGCGAAGCCATATATCTCTGAGATATTTTCTCACGCGACACAGCAATTGAATGAACGCATTACATTGACCTCGGGTCAGGAATGAAGGTCAGATCGAGGTCAAAACCAGCTTGCTTTTTGCTCTGGAGATTACTGTATGGGTAGTTTCTGGTGCTCACTTCAAATTTGTTAATAACAGGAACCGTATTATGCATCTTCCATGGACTTCTTAAAGTGAAGAATACGTGACTGACCTAGAAGGACCCAGATCTACATTTTGTTTTTAGAAACATACCGCTTAGCGTAATCTTTCACGCTTATTCAAGTGCAAAACTTAAAGCAGTCGTGTATGATTTTGGTTCCCATGACCTCCGAACGGTCAAACAAGGCCACTGACCTTAAATGGGCACCAGTGGCCCTTTGCTTAGAGCATGTATCTAGGTTTTGGTGACACTTTGGACGCCAATCTGGAGTTTCACCTTGTTTGATCTTATTTGGCGCAAAGGTCATGACCCAATAATATCAACTGTTGACGAAAGTGAGATAAATACAGGCCAACACATCCTGTGAATTTGGTGTTTATATCTCTCTTAGTTTGTGAAATTTCAGCGGGTTCAAATTGGACCCCACCCGAGCGAAGGGTATTCAACCGGCCACCCGGGCGCTTGCAAACGTTAGCCATTCTGTTGAAAAACCAAACCCGCTGTTCATGCAACGCACTCAAACGGGTAATTCAGCATTCGTGTATGTATGTGGGGATAGATGTTGAACGGGTGGATGCTCTTGTCATGCCTCACGATGCTACGGCACTGTCAAAAGCAGTCTCAACATTTTTTTTTTAACCGAGACCAGATTTTCCGAAGCGTGACGTTTTGGCTGCTGTTTTGTTTTTGCTGTGGATTTGTTTTTGTGTCGAAATCGTGATAACTTTGGCCAAGTATTTATGGCGAAAGCAAGCATCTTAGGCAAGAAGCGAGCCCCTTGAAAGTGTTACAAAGCTCCAATCGTGGGCATGGTGTCACGCTGCTAGAGTTAACAGTATTAGTTAAGGTAATCCTGAGTGCTGATTCAGCCAATAGTTGGCTGAACTGCTGAACTGTAACTCGGACCAACAGTCCAAAGTGACAGACGCCAAGCTCGTGTTCGGCACCGGATTGATTTGACATTAGCCCCATAAAATGGTCATCACCCCGTAAATCCATAAGAAAGAAATTTAAATCGTCAGGTCAGGTAAACTATAAATAGGTACTGTATGCGTATGCCGGGCATACTGCCCACCTTGTCTTTTTTTAGAAGCATCATCTGTAATGACCAAGCGATCCGCTCGGCGCTCCCCCACCTGACCCACAACCGTCCGTTCGAACCGTTCGAACCGTTCGAACCGTTCGATACAGCGTGCGATAGCGACGGGCCATGTCACCGAGCGCAACGCTCGCTCTGATCTTCACGAAAGCGCGGGCAGAAGCCTGCAATGTGAGGCCTTCAGACCAGACGCGTACGAGAAAAAGGCCAAATGTTATCGTTCTGGCGTCAGAGCAGTTGTGTAGATCTCTGGCGCGACTCATGACCGAAGCCAAGCAGGTCGGCTGTGATGGTGTTGAGCAGTATGGTCTAAGTAACTGGTCTCCTTTTAAATTTCAGCGGCTGTTTTGCAGATTGCTGTAGACAACATCAAGCAGATCGAAATTATGACGGAGATAAACATGCCGCAAAAACGATGTGTAGCACAAACAACTGTTACCGGAACAGCCATAGGCTGCTACGCAACCCTGACTATCCCAACATAAGATGGCTGGTTCAACGGAAGCTCTTACCTCAGGCTTCTGCTGAGTAGTACTAAACGATTACCATCACGCCATGCCAAACCATCGCATGGGCGTTTCATGCCAACTTGTGTAGCTGTTGCTGGCTACGATTGACAGCTGACCGTTCGCTGGCGAGCCAACGAATGGGCGCCTTTTCTTGGATGCGAGTTAGAAGACTCCAACGGCTGGGTAGGCCGATGGCCACCCGCGTGGAATGGGTTACGGGATGGGTTGGATACAGATTTGGGGGGAATCACGGGTGTGGGTACGGTATGAGTAAATAGATGTCGGGTACATGCTTCAACAAATATGGCACAACTTTGCTAGCTGCGCTTTATTTCTCGCCGCTTTTTAAATCATGAACGCAAAGGAATAGTATTGAGTGCAAGCTTTCCTGAAATATCGGCATAATTCAGAATCAAAGCAATGCAGAATGCGGTGCAGATAGCTAGCAGGTAGGTTTAACTAAGTAGAAATGTGTAGTGGGTGGGTATGGGCACAACTCCAGGGTAGCGGCTGGAATGACTCAATGAAATCGCACCAGTGAAGACCTCTAGCGAGAATCCGCAAGTCGACCGCACTAATACTGAGATGTTGAGCGGTATCCCAGTCGACGTACAGGGACATCTCATTATCTAGACCGGGTAATTTAGCCGCGTATAGATCCAGTGGCACCAAAAAACATGGACACATATCGGTCGTGTGATACACAACAAAGCCTCAACGTCACCTCGGCCCGACCAGTGACACGTGAATTTCATTTAGTGATTAAGAAATAGGGTAGAGGCCACAGTCCCAAAGCTCTCCTGCCGACGAGGTGCGCTGAAAGTTTCGCACGTTAGAGTCCTGAGTTTAACGGTTGCACCAGTGCAGTGCGACGCTAGCCGCCGAGCTAATGGATTTCTCTGATCTAGACGTGATACTGCCCAGGCTGAAGATCAAGGACTGTAGTCACGAGTAGTTGGACAAGCTAACCAGCCCGCGTTTATCTAATTTCTTGGGAGGATTGCCTCTGCTCGCACACTCGGGCGGACTGGAGCTGGGAAAACCCCTTGAGGGTTGGAGGTACCTCATTTCGTCAGACCAGAAGAATTGGCTGGACAAATCACCGCCTGAAAATTACAGTCGGCGTTTTATGCACATCGCGCAACTGAACATCTAGTGGGATGGATGCCCGGGAGATTACAGGTCGTTACCAGACATTGCACATCACGAATGACTGGAATTCATATGCGATTGTGGAGGCGATTTGCATAAGTCTTTACGTTGTTGGGAATCCAACAGCGGGCTTCATCGGACTCAAATATAAATACAAAATACAATCATATTTGTTCGTGAGACTTCTGGGATTGGTTTCAGGACAATACGGGGATCAGAGAGGAATATCTAGCCAAGGTTAGCCTTATCCCTCCAAGGGATAACGGCAATGAAGACAAATTATTACGGAGGCGACAACAAAAATAATGTCATGAAGCCCAGGCGAATCCCACCCTTCGACTGAAATGGCAGAATGACCACATCAAGCGAGCACCACATTGGTCAAACGAGCACCACAGGCCCATGGTTCCACGCCCTGTTCCCAGGTGCTATGCGCGCACCTGACGCTACCTCGAACAGAGGTATCTGCTTGGGTACCTCGATGCTCTTCAATGTTTCCGGTGTGAATTGTGCGTGATTCGGTTACTGGGGCGATGTCTTCGCACAGAACAGCACGGCCCCAAAACAAACGGAGCAGCGCAGTGCAAAATGCGCCCCCTGGCCCTGAGGACCCCGGATGCCCCAGGGCGCACGGTGAGTGGGAGGGGCGCGACACGCCCGTCACGCCCTCCTGCAGCTGGCGGCGTCCACGAACTTGTTTACTCCAGCAGCATAGAAGCCACAAGTCAGCACACTGCAGCCACAGGCTGTAGGCCGACACTGGGCCACATACGCACAACAGCGTTACTGGTCATGCCAGTTACATGCACCTTCCCGTATCCCAAACACAGAAGTGCGCGCGCGATGTATGGCGTTACGCCGCTGATGAGTAAAGGCAGCTGGATGTATTTGGCGCTTAGTGCTAATTGCCGCATTCCATTTGCACCATGCCATCGCACATCGAGTAACAATGACCGTTTTAGACCGAAAATGGCACATGGTCAAAGCATGTAGATTACGTTGTGTACTGTCCGCACCAGCTGTAAATGTCGGAAGAAAATTACTTCGCGGTCTAACAAAACCACGAAGCGAGGCAAGCTGAAGATAATGCGGAACAGCTCTGCTCACGTATGTGCGGAAATGGAACCAATACAACCAAATATAATCAGAGCATTGTTGCGTTTCGGTGGAACATTAAAGTAGTAATTTGGATATTTGTCATATCGCCTAAATTTTCTTCGACTTCCCCATTTCCGAGAGTGCAGCCCCAGCGCGACCATAGCTATCCGCCGACATAATGTAATGCGTCAGACACTGCCGGGGCACAGTCTCTGTGCATCAGGCCTGCTCTACCAGCTAGGTACCGATTCCATTCATCTGTCCATTTATTGAGCGAGAAAGCCCACGTGGGTGGCTTTCCACGTCTTGCGTGTTACCTCTAGTTAAATGACTCAAAGCACATGTCGATCACATCACTCAAACACTTCCTCACACCAGCACACACACATTAATTATAGAGTGCAATTTAGCCCGTATTCCGTTCGCCCCGCCCGGCTGACAGTCGTCCAGCCGCCCGACGAAACCCCTCGTGACTGGCGTCGGGTGACGCGGTCCCACGGCGACGGAGGCTGTAGTCATGCACTCTACTGTGCAAGCTGTCTTATATCGATATGATTTGGCATCCTTCAAAGACATTCCATCCATCCATCATTGGTGAAGCGCAAGGCACGCGGTCATGCTCGCTTTTAATGAGGTTCTCTGAGAAAGCTCCAGGATGCACTGCTCCAACCGCTGGACGGTCAGCGCGCAGACGTCGGTAAATGCCAAGTTTCTTGCATATAAGTGGGAAAACTCTAGCAGTGCATTCATCAAACGATGATCACGTCTTCTTCCGCTTCGTAATCAGGCTCCTACAGGTAGTAAGCGTGTGTTTTAATGTGATCCAGTTCTGTCATCGAGCGGATTCCGCAAATATTAATACAGAAGCGGAGGCCAAACACCGTGCGCGATGTCCTGATAGGCCTCATGGCGTGCTAAAGAATGCCGTGCCAGACATGGGTCAGTGCAAGTGAAACGACGGTACTTTGTCCAACACAGAGTCAACATGGTGCTAGAAAGTCAGGGTTGCATTTATGATTTAACCAAGGTTTTTGGCCGTCTGAGACCCAGATAATATCCGTGTAGAATCTCAGGGAAAATTGTGGTACATCGCGGGATAAGGCATCCCTTTCGAAAACTACCAATTGTGCCATAGTGGTGCCAGCCTTCAAACTGTAGGCGCAAAATGAGCTTTGAAGATCAAAAATAGACCTCCCATATGGTGACTAAGCAGTTCCCGTCGTGTTTTTTGTTGCCTGACACTAAGATATAAGCCTACTCAGCATGCTGGAATCCATGAAGCGCATGTAGACTCATCTCATTTGCTTAGTTTGCCTACAGGAAACACATCAGGGAACCTGTCTGGAATATCCTGGAAGTGACTGCGAGGCATTTTCAAGAGTGATATATTTTGGATTGGAAACTTGATGGTCTTTGTATTTTATGTTACCTAAGTCCACTGAACATAAGATAAATAGTGTCCTAACCCGGCTGTATTGGTGCACACGTATAGTTCCTCTGAAAGCGCTGGTTACAGATAGCATTAAAACATTTGATTAAAGCGTATTAAGGCATCTTGGAGCAAGCCTACCACCACAAGGATGGCAATTTTCACGCGATCCAGTACCCGGCAAGTGTTGTCAGCCAAAGTAGTTTCTGGTGACCTTTACCACCTGTAACTGAGCTAAGCATCGGTTGATAGTTCGCGCTTATTGAAGAAATGATGTGAGTTGCATTTGTACCAAACGCGCGTGTAACGTCATCACAGCAGGCAACACTGAGATGGGAAAATAACCAGGCCTAAACAAAGCTGTCTTGAACATCTCGATGCAAGACCACGTTGTTACTTCACAACAGATCCATGGCGATTCTCTTCGTTTATCTGGCACAGCACGACATGTGTGGAATAATGTAGTGGGCCGTAATGGTGACCAGTGCTTGCGGCTCGAGCCACGTCAGCGGGCCGCTTACTAGAGATGATGTGAAGCAACGTCAAGCCATGACCCTGAGGACCGTCAGATGACCTCAGAGCCTGCTCAATCGAGTATATTGAAAGCTATTGAGCAGGTAGGGTAAATTGTCGCTGAACTAGCTACATTCCAAATAAAAACACGGTTCAAGGTGGCTGGCAATCACCGGAGCTGAACCTGGATAATGGGCGATAACGTGCTGAAATTGCATCTCGAATAGTAAAGTTCAGCGGACACGTGGTCCATGGTATTGGCAGCGTGCCAGCAGACGGGCAGAGTAATATGAAGTGGCGACAGTCCTTCATACTCACTCAACACCAGATTATTTCAGCGTCTGATGTCAGTACTGATGTGAGAGGGACCACCATGGCGAAGTCATGGGAGCTCAATATCTTGGATACGGGTCTTCAAGTTTGAAACACATTGGTCAGTGTATAATACTCTTCCAGCTAAACTAAGGGGGTCGCAAGCATTAATAAATGTATGCATGTGCCCATATGATTTCATTAGGCCATAGCTGAAGGAAGACCAGCTGTGTACCCGTCATCTGGGAGAGACTGCCAGAGCTATCGAAACTGAAAATCCCATTGTCTTGGCCTGCCACTTCAAATCACTAAGCACAAAAAATGACATGAAATTCCTTTTATTGACGTCCCGTTGGACTGGCGATGAGCACAGACACTGCTTTTATCGTAAGACTTCGTCGTCAAACCCAATAAAGCCGAAGGTAGGATTGGCCGCCTCCGGGTGGGCAGCAGGTCAAGTGCCGCCGCCCTGCGAGGCGCCGGCGGCTCACGGGTCACTGGCGTCCACTCCTGACGACGCCTCTGCCGCCGGCCCGCCATCGCAGTTAGCGAAGTTGTCCACGACCAATCCGTTCAGCGCCAGACCGGCTTCCGACTCTTAACACGTAGCGATTGCATTATTCCTGAGGTTAAGTCAATCAATTATGCTTCGTTGTAAGGACTGTTTCAGACGCCCGACGCTGCAGTGGACAGACAAACGAAACTGAACGGAACGAGCCGGACGAACGAAACCGATACTCACTTCTTTGCCGGGTGCTCGACGAGACCCCGTCGGTGGTCAGTATCGCTACGGCTCGGTTCAGACACCTTATCCACTGTGTGGTGACCTTTTGAAGCGGGAAAGGCGGAAGGAGCTGCTGTTCGTCAAACAAAGCCAACACTTTGGCATTGAATTTGCCATTTCGAATTTGCCAACCTGCTTTAAAATGTCAAGCGTTTCAGATCTGTTGACTTTCATAGTTGTAGAACTGTGCCGATCTCTTTGACGCACAAAAGATACTTAAATGATGGTCATTTCGATCGCCTTCTGTGCCTCCGTATATATACACATGACTTCTGAAGGTACGCATTAGTGGCTACAAGTGGGCAATGAAGAGCGTTCGCAGGAGTTGATTATAGGAAGCACAAAACCCAAAGTTTGTTTCACTAACAACCAAGTTTAGCACACTACAAACAGCCGCGTACATGACATCAAACAACATAGCGTATTCTTGATCTACTTATCTCTACGTGTGTACCCACTTTTTTAATATTGTCGTTTAGTCGCTCACATACTTATGTTGGATAAAATGAAAGGGGACGAGCACGTACCTCCGGGGGTCACTATGTGGGCACGCTCCTGTGAAGAATATGTTTCACGGGACAATCACCACTATGCTCCGTTATTACAAACATGCGTGTTCGTTATATGTGGCATGTATGTCGCATGCAGTTGGCACAAATATATCACATGCAAGTTGTGTGCCGCAGTCGTCCGTATGTGCGATACAAGTGCGTCGGTACATACAGGGTGCTCGCACTTTGCAAGATATTGACGCCTTGCATTGTCATCACTACATGCGCAGCACGGAAGACCTACTGGCATATGTATGTGCACCACGATTTATTCACAAGTTGCCGCTAAATGCAATCGGGTTACCAAACACCTGGTAAAACACTCCAAACAACGCTTTCTCTGCTGTTATGCTAGTACCGGAAGTGGGCAACAGATAACTACGTGTTCCATGTCACGAGAGAACATTGCAACATTTGACCGTCTTATTCTCGTCCAACCCAACCAAAGCCACAACCAGTCATACCACCACAGCCTCTCGTGCTACATTGTGACATTATCCCCCCTCCCCCCGCCCCCCCCCCCCAGCTGATGCACTTTACGCGTTTCCACCCTGACAGTTCTCTGCCTCGCCCTCAGGTGTCGGACCGAGGTATCGACTCTCTAGGAGGAGGCAACCTGTTGCGAGGCATCGACTCTCTGGGAGGGGGCCATCTGCTCCGAGGCATCGACCCCCTTGGCGGAGGAAACCTGCTGCGAGGCATTGACTCTCTGGGAGGGGGCCATCTGCTCCGAGGCATTGACCCCCTCGGCGGAGGACACCTGCTGCGAGGCATTGACTCGCTAGGAGGAGGACACCTGCTGAGAGGTGTCCCCACGCAGGCGGAAGGACGCAGGGTGCCGAACATCTACAGGCAGCGCCTTCTCGACTATTTCAGTAAGTTGAGCGTCACAGGACATACGCCTGGAAGTCGGGTTGTTTTCCGTTCGCCGCGGCATGTCCGAGCCTCGGCCACGGGCGGACGGCTTTACCGGCCAGCGCCTTCGACACCGCTGCCGCAGACTGCCCGGTGGGAGGCGGGCAAGCAGCCCGCCCTGCAAGGCAACTGCCCGCAGTCTGCCAGGCGGGAGGCAGCCCCTCGCGCCGGCGTCCGGCGCGAGGGGCTGGCCGCCGCGCAGCGCTCGGCCCGGACAGGAAACGCGGTCGAACAGCGCCGGGACCGGAAGCTCACCCGCAGGCTCCCGCGCGGCGAGTGGTCGTTCGGTGCCGGAAGTCGTTCGACCGCGGCGAGGTGCTCCGGAGACGAGGCGATCGCTCGGTCATGAGCTGGTAACGCCCCGTCGCCGGGCGCGCGTATGAGATGAAACAATCTGCTGAGCGGTGATCCTCAAAACCCTCGGTCGGAGCGTCCGGGAAGGCCCCGGCTCGCACGCCTGTAACCGGCGCAAGGAACGCGTTCAAGCTGAAGTGGTTAGGGTGGCGCGGCGCCATCAGTTTGTGATGAGCGCTGGAGATAACTTCACGGACGCAGAGGTGCCCTTTGCTCGCGTGCGGCTAACAACGCGGGCAACTGGTCGAACATTTCTCCGACCACAAATATCAGAGGAGACTCCCGGAGTGCTGAGATTGAAGTCCATCTGTTGAGCACTCAGACTGCGGCCGTTTAATCACAGGTTCAGAGCCAAAACTGGGAGGTCTTGGGCCGCAGCTGCCATGGACAGCGCGCTGGCAATCTAACGACACCTTCCATGGAAATGTGTCCTTTGACTCTTTGGAAGCATTTGATTACGAGGTCAGATTGATTTTCAAAGCCGTGTCTGCCAAAAATAACGAGTTTCGGTTTTGATGAGTATTCCAATGGCATTTTCTCATGCCAAACTTTTCCTGTAGCTGAAAAGAACTTTGACCAAGTTAAAGCCCTTACAGGTGCATTCCAGCTTCCGATCTGTCTTTTGATTTAATTCCAAAACTTTGGCCTGCATGATTACTCCCTGAATCACTCCAAAGGTTTAAAGACTTGTTGCAGTGCTCCTGACTATCGGATTACATTATATTTCTCAACATGAAAAATATCTAGTTTCGCAAAAGCCCTATCTTCGACAAGCAAATTGTTTACGACTTCACGCGAAATCGAGAAGATGACATTTTATGAACACACTTGACGTCACTTCATGATGGCGTATAGTTTGTTCCAAGTGTTCCACTCGTGATCCGGTAATCCCGGAGTGTCCCGTTCTGGCACACGCCAACCAGGCTGGTGCGAACAGGACAGATGAACATCCTCTTTGTAAAGCGATGTGTACCTGCTGGCGCTGCGGCCTGATGCTAAAGCTAGCTCAGCTCTACGGTCACTAGGACTGCGTTCTGATACTGTCAGCATCAAATCCCTCCCCCCCCTCCACCATCTCGGAGACAACTGTTGAAATTCTGGCTCGATTGCGTTTAATTCAGTGACCTAATCAAGACAGGACCTGGAATTTCTTTTAAAGGCCCGATAAAAATCGGATGGCAAATGCAGATTTTCTCCATAGACCGTTATGCAGTCCTTGGACATGGCCCGGATAGAGGGTAACGTGAATCGAGCCTAAGCTCCGCCCACTGCTGGGACCTATGCTACCTTGAGCCAGACCAAACAACCTGCGCCGTAAACATGCAACCAATGCGAGGGAACCTTGCTGTGACGTAACCAATTCATAGGCAAGCCTCTGTTTAAGTCTAGTCAAAGCATTGAGCTGCGGTCTATCAAGAACATATTTACTAGGTTTATATTGCCATGACATTGCTGAATAAACGGTCCAAATAAACCAAAACACCATTGATTATTTCCTCTATAAACAACAACCAAATGGACGGAACACGGAGATGGACGCCAACAAACCCCGCGCACAAAATCAGCATCGATGTGCCCCTCCCCTGAAATCAAGGAACCTATCGGACGGACGATTTGGCCAGTGTATCTACCTGGATTCGCCTCTGACGCTTCTGGCAGCAGGCAGCTGTCATGTCAGAACACATACGGTGATGACAGCACTGGATCCAACGTTGGCTTATCATGGTAACGCCCTCCATAGATATCCTCCACACCCGTCCGTGGCAACTTAAAGTATTCAAAAGACATGGCAAATAGTTATTGATTATGCATCCGGTGGCCCGGAAATCAATTTCATCCGAACATCAGCTTTCAGCTGCAGGAAGTATTCTGCGCGCGCACCGTCATCTGTTCTAGCACTGCTCCCTGAAATCAAGCCATCGTCAGCCGCCTCAATGTTGGCAGGACACATCAAATTGATTGATGGAAAACTTACCCAAGTTTCATCGTGGTGATATGAACAATATTGGAATGAAATAAAGTGGCAATCAAGGGGAGGGAGGAGACAAATCGACCTTGCTTAAAATGTGTGCAATCATTTCATGTAACGTGGCTAATTTTGCCAGCTCATCATCCACAGTACATTACACAAATCAAAGCCTGAATTTCTGGGTTCAGAGCACACGCTAAGCGGTGCTTGTCGTGTGAGCCGTGAGACCTGTCATTCGATCGTGCAATTCCAGGTCAACGGCAGAGATTGTTGACAATAGTTCAACGTGTCGCGACGCTGGGCACGATACATCCTGCCTTCTGACGTCACCTGACCCTAAGCGCTTCTGCTGCCACCGGGCGCAGTTGACCGTACCGTCAAGGGTAAACAGGGAGTGCCCTACACCGACTCGTTTCCACCCCGCCACGAACGAGCGGATAATAAAGCAGGCTCTCTAACCGAGTCCGTTATGGGGACGGGCGCTGCTAGTACATTCCTAGTAATGCATTCCTAGCACTTGCGAATGCATTGCAGGAGCAATGTTTCTTATACGTTAGTACCGCCAGATTGGACCAATTTATCGACTGTCTCACATCCAGAAATGCAATCCTCGGAAATCTCTGTTCGACTGGTGATTCAAATGCCGTAGCGGATCGATGCCATATGCTACCGCGAACAAATTGCGGCTACTGATCAAGGTCTCGCAGGGAACTTAGAGTTGAATGCTAAAACTCTTGGATTGCGAGACCCTCAACTTTTGCATAGGCCTCCGCTCCGTCTTACTCCAAAAACCCCTCCGTTCGATAAATCGGCTTCACTTAAGAGGCAACCACCCATTGTGCGGGAGTGCGGTGCGGAGCACGGGGAGCCCAGCAGCAGGCCCTCCCCGAATGCTAACCGGAGTAATCCATGCGCGGTGGAATCAGCCGACGTCAGGCTGATCCCCAGCGTAAGCTCAACAATAGATCCGAGGGGTACATGAAAAACCTTCCAGACCCCGGCATGCCGTAGCGACGCCGAGAAGCTGTATATCGATCAACTCCCTCCGTGTCGTCTCCGCGTCGTTGGGTTTCCCGTGCCAGAAATCTGAGCATCGGTCTGCTTGCACCTGGATCCTCCTGTGGCGGGTATTCATTTGCTCGATACCGTTTGCTATGCAATGGCTGCTGCGTTTGATTGCTCTTGCACATTAATGAAGTCATTATTTCTGCCCATCAAAGTAGCCTGCGCACCTGATATCCCAGCAGCGCCAGATCGATCTTGCTCAGAGAGTGAGGGTCGCAGGATTCTAAACATTGTCAAGACAAAGGCTGTTTATTGGATGTGCCACGACACATCTGGTCCATATAAATGGTCTTGAAAACATCTTACATCTGAGTTAAGGCTCTTAATAGTCTTAAGCGAGATGCACAAACATTGTGATGCATATTTTGGTTCTTGGTGTTCAAACAACAATGAAATGACACGCATTGCTTTTGTTTTGACGACATTTTGCATAAAGCGCCACTTATGAGTTGCGAAGCAGCAGAGCAATGGACGTTTATTCAGCATGCAGCTCAAAACGCTTCACACCTCTTGTTTTAATGACGCACCGCTTGATAACTCGATGGGCCCTCATCGCCTCCCCCTCCCTTCCCCCTCCCCACCCGCAAAAAAGTACGACAAGGCATTCGACCACATCAGTAACCTAAATATCACTTTTTTTTCTTCGAGAATCGCGGTGCACCCAGCGCCCTGCCGCGGCCCAGCCGAGCGGGCGGCCGCGGTGTGGCGCAGCTAACCCCCACCCCCCATGCCACGGCGTCTGGTTCGATCACGCCACCCGCTCTACGGCTCCCCAGCGAGAACCAAGTTCACGAGGAGCTCGAACAGCCAGCTTGGTCCCGCCGGCCAGACAATACTGGTGTTATAAATTTGGGTGGCAGCCCTGGTCTCGGTTGTCTTCACGCCCCAGCCCTGCGCTGAATTGATTGTGATTCGCTGGTCTCAGGCAATATATTTCTTTTGCGATTGATAGAAGCTCACGTTTTTCGTGGTTAACGTCCTGGTGCGAGTAAAGCGTGGGGAAGGGGCAGGGCGTAAGAGGTCGTCTGGGTATCTGACGGGTTGCTGAAGCGTCTATGGTACACCCCACCTGCCATTTTCGTTTACTTCGATTACGCTAGCGAAATAGGTGGAGACACCAAGAGTAGTTACATTTCCAGTCATAGCAGTTACAGGGAATATATGCTCGCTTTTCAGGATGGGAGAGCCTGCGGTTATGGTCAGTGAACGGATACTGTGTGGATTCATTATACTCTGGCAGTGTGCCAGATCAAAACCATAAATGCAAACTTTCCTGCGTCTTGCAAATGTGCAAGATTGGACTAGCGGCTGGAAGTTAGACGATATTCATTGATCGATCGTATTCCAAAAGGACCAATTCAAAAAACAGCTGTTTATTTCTGCTGGCATAACAGGCATTCTTCATGCGTGAGAAAGCCCCGTATTTAACTCGGCACGTTGTTTTGCGTTGTCAGGATTTCTACAAGTGTAGGTGATAACGGGCATATGCTGTTTTTCAAATATCAGACAGGCAGGCGAGGGGCACGTTTGGGCTAAATTGATCTCAGTGAGCTGTGAGATTGATTGATTTACGACATGTATAAAAGGGCCATTTCTCACGGATGTGTGTCGTGCGCAAAAACAAATATAGTCGAGTCTCAAAAGCGTGCAAAAATATTTCTCACCGTAGGAAGAACATTTACCAGTTACCGTCATAAGCCGGCCGGAAACGGGTGTTTTTTAATAAGCGCCGTGCTTAGTGTGCACGATCCCATTAAAGGGACCCACGCGACTCCTTTTCGAAAGGGCTTGTTTGTGTTGGATCTTAGCGAACACGAGGTTGACCGTTCTTTCGTGCAAGTCCTCCGCTTACTTCGAACGGTGCTCAAATTGTCAGTGAGGCAGACCCCTCCCCATGGTGTTGTACGCATCTCCACCCACACCGCGTCGCCTACACGTCGGCCGTCGTCGCTTAGCCCCGGAAGAGTCTCGGAAGCCGCGCTGGCGCTCACGTTCGCCTCCGTCCGTTGCAGAGAGCCACCCGGACACGTACGCGGGGCGCGAGGTGCGCGCGCTGGACCCGCTCAGCGGCATGTCGTTCGGCGTCGACAAGCGGCTGGACTCACTCAGGTAAGGGCGGCGACCCGGCCGGCTGGCGCGTCCCGCTCGGGCCCCGCTCGGGCCTCGCTCGGGGCCGGGCCCCGCTCAGGCCCCGCTCGGGATGGGTGGGCGCGAGGCACCGGCGGCACGGGCGGCACGGCGCCTGCGCGTGTGACTGCAACGGGCTGGACGTGGACGGCTCTTGGAGCATGGAATGGTCATGGAGGCGTCGGGGTGCAAGTCAAGGGAGGAGGCTGATAATGATCTAAAATGGCCAAATGATTCTGGTCGACCGAAATGTTCGCACCAATTCTCTGCAGTGACCATCATTTCCTTCTGGGTCCACTCATGGAGAGCGCACGCCCTCATGGCCAGCCAGTGACGCGTCCGCCACTGCTGGCCGGGCGTTTTCTTGGATGGATAGCCGCGACTCATGTGACGTATGTTTGGGGGCAGGGGGAGGCGTGTTATGGATGTACACCGTGACGCATGGGCAGTTCAGGGGGCGCTAGCGCCAGTTCGGTTCGTGCCAGCGCCTAGTCACGCTGGCCGCGCACGAGAGGACGCGATAGGCTGCGCTGAACCGTTACAGAAGCCGTAAAAGAGAAACACTAGCCCGGCGAACGCACTGAACCGAACAAGACGCGTTGACAAGACGTATCCCCTTCATACTCTTGGCCAGCGGCCCTTGAAACAGTCAGGTGTTTGATGAGACGGTTGAAATTCAACGCTCCGTTAAGTGGAGGTGGGCTGATGTGAACGACACATGTTCGTTCACTATGATACCAGGCATATCGATTGCCCCCGTTTCTGGGCGGAAAGTCCGATAGGAAAGTGCTTATTGAAGTGGTTTCTTGGTGGGATAAAGGGTCGAGCATACACGAACCATTCAATCGGAATTTACACTGACATATCCACACCGAATTGCCTCTCGCCATGACTCATGGGCTAAATTTGTCTTGCAGCTGGATGATATGAAGCCCATGGAACTGGCTAAGCTCCTTCTTTATCGAGTAAATGTTCCGTGTCTGACGAAACATTGGCGCGCGAGCCGAAAAATGGCGCGTAACTCGTAAGCCACAGGTCTGCACCTCACCTGTTAACACCAGCCAACAGGCGATCCCACCACACAGGGCACACGACATGGGTTCTCGTGCGACCGTTCTCCCGTAGGGGTTGTGCACGGTGCATTATTGACGGCCCTGCGCCACCAGCTCTCATGCGACCGTTCTCCCGTAAGGGCTGTGCACCCTGCATTATTGACGGCCCTGCGCCACCAGAGCAGACTCGATCCCCAGCTCCGGGTGCGACCAGCGACAGCACGTTTCCATTAAAGGTTGAATGCCTCGCGTGTCTCGCTCTCTGGCGGCGCTCGGACGATGCGGCGCCGCGCCGGTCACACTGGTGTGGAGGGGCGTAATGGCGCGGCGTGCGGCGCCCTGTCGAGACTTGTCGACACGACACGTCGCGGTGTCAGGCGACACGTCACGGGATCACATGACACGTCAAAAGGTCACGTGACACGTCGCAGGGTCGTGTGACACGTTGCGGTGATCTGCATGATGCAGCAGAGCCCCAGCCTGGCACGTAACGTTATCCCATGTGATGTGTTACGCCATCGCGTGTGACGCGTGACAGTATCCCGTGTGATGCATCGCGGGCACACATCTAACACAATGTTTTGCACGCTTCAGTACCCTCTGCGACTGTTTCCTTTCATCCAAAGGCACTAATTTTGAGTTATGGGCAGTGAAGACGGGGCCTTTGACTACGGGGAGGTGTTGCAATTCAATTCGCGCTGATAGTCCCGACATGCGTAAGCAGGAGGTTCACACAGGCCAGCTAAAACGTGGTCGCATTCCACGGATGGAAATATATGCTGCGTCAGGGTTGAAACACATACGAGAACAAAGCCTTAAGCTCACACTGCAGAATAAAAAATAGCACAGAAAAAAAACAGACGCATTTACATCAGCAGCGCCCTTCAACCGCTGCGGTTGGAAGCTCCACTCATTTGACTGCGCTCAAACTTGGCTCATTTAGCTGGGAGTTTAATGTGGACGCGAGGGGCATTGGAAAGCTCCAGGTGCAGGACAGCATAGCGAACACCCAGCTAAACTCCCCGCGCCGACTTGCTGCGACTTCGACGTCTGCGGCACGTGAGCAGTAACTCAGATCGGCCCTCTCTAAGGCTGTATTTGTTCCCCAGGTGTTTGTCTGCAGTTTTCAAGAGACCATTTTTACGATGCTGCTTTCCGTTTTGGGATCGTGCATTGAGATGGTTCTGTTCTGCTCCAGTGGCATGACTTTCGGCACGGAGAAGAGGAACTTTGATGAGATCGACAGGTCGGGCTTCAGTGGCTTCGCCAAGAAGCGCAACTTTGACGAAATCGACCGCTCTGGCTTCAACGGCTTCGCCAAGCGGTCGTCGGCAGCCAGCGTGCAGAAGCGAAACTTTGACGAAATCGACCGCAGTGGCTTCAGCAGCTTCGTGAAGCGAGAAGCCAACGCCAAGGACAAAATATAGGCCACAACGGCAAATGTTCATTTTCCCCGCCATTCACTTAATCAGGCCGATTTGCACCGGTCGAGGAGAGCTTGCCAGCCGACGGCAGCCGAGGGCCAGCCGGCCGCCTGCGGTCCGCAGGTACCCCGCTGAGGCGACTGGGCGGCCGGTGGCGCCGCGACGCCTGTACCCCGGACCAGCGCGCGGCGGCGGCCGCCGATCGGCACGCGGCGTCCGAGAGGCTGGACGGGACGCGCCGCTTGGGGCTGCGCCGGCGCTGGAGCTGGCTTCCAGCCGTCGCCGCGGAGCGCTCGCGACCCGCCAACCGGAGGCCGTCCGTTTCGCGTCGGTCGGTTTATTTATTCATGGTGAGATGTGTTCTTGTTCCGTGATGAGGTGCTACTAATTGATGAAATAAACGTGATGTAGGTGGTCAGATGCGCTGCTCTTCCGTGCGTGCCCGAGGCAGGCCGCCGGGCCAGTCCGCTGAAGCGTGGGCTCCGTGTGGATGAGGTCTAGGCTCCGGCGAGGTTGGTGCCCGGCGCGAGCGGCCACGCTCAACGGGCAATCACCTGGGCCGGCGCTGCTGAGTGGGCCGCCCGACGGCAGGCATCGTTTGTGCTGACGGATTAGAGAAATGTGCCCCCGACGGCGTTCAGAAAGCTTGACGCCTCCAATTGCAGGCTTGTGAGAGATGCGTCCAATTCTTAGTTGATTTTACGGAGGCGTCGTCCCACACGGAAAGATTGAGACACATGGGAATAGTTACGGCGTGCGCGATTGGACTCTGAACAGTGGGCGTCAGTCAGCCGCTCCGAGACTGCCCGGTCTTTGGCCGATAGTGAAAACATTGCTGGCTGTAGCAACGTTTTCTGGAGGATGTGACGAACACCTGATGAATGGCAAAAGACGAGTGGGGGCTCAGGCGAGCTCGAATGGGCTCCAGAGAGCTCAGGCCATTCATATCGTAGTTGTTTAGATTTAGCATCAGCCCGACGACGCTGCCTTGTTCACCGTGCACCAAAATGGTGGAAGGCTCCTCCAACATGCTGAGTTTTTATAGGTGCCTGTTTAAAGCGGCACATGGAAGGAGTAGCTTTGAGCCATGTGGCTGTGGTCTTAAACATATTTTGAAGGGTTGCCAAACCAACAAATCACCACAGACCTATGTGGATACGCTGTCACCTAGCGTAGTTCGCGTTCTAAAGATGTGAGCCATACATCCTCCTGACTCCGAAATCGAAGTCAAGCCATGGATTCAACGGAAGCAATTTCTAGGGAACCGTTCAGTCGGATCCAACAGCGGAGTGTGAGAGGAAGCCATGCATCTCCTGAGATAGTTTCTTTGGCGACACAACAATGAAATAAGCAAAGCTCACTGACCTATCGTCAGGTATGAAAGTCAGACTAGGTTCTAAGCCAACCCGCTTTTTTACTAAAAAAACTTACCGTGTACGGAAATTCCTGGTGCTCATGCCGAATTGGTTGATAACAGGGACCGCATAACACACCTTCCATGGATTTCTTAAAGGTCAAGATAAGTCACTGACCTAAAATGACTCAGGCCAACACTCCGTTCTTAGGACACACCACCTAGCGTAGTCCTTAACGCTTATTCAGATGCAAAAAAATGAAATTAGTCTTGCATGATTTTTGTCTTCATGGCGTTCTTAAGGTCAAACAAGGTTACTGACCTTAGATTAGCGCCAGTTACCATTTGCTTAGAACAGGTATCTAACCTCACAGCGGTTGAATAAGGTCTGGGGCACTTTGGCCACCAATCTGGAGTTTGACCTTGTTTGATCTTATTTGACCACAAGACCAAAACCTGGGAATCTCAAACTTTTACAAAGAACACCAGCCACCCGGGTGCGTGTTAAGAGATGGTGGTGCAGATAGATGAAGTCCACTCAGGGGCGAGCCATCACTCCAGCGGTGAAAAAGTGTCCTTTTTTATCAACAGCGAACTTTGGAATAGGCTAGATTGTCGCCTGGAACGAAAGCGAAATTTAATCAGATTTTATATCAGTTTCATCAGAAACCGTTGCAACTTAAATTTAAATGCTATAAACCGCAAGAAACAAAGGCGAATGAAATGCAGTGCGTCATAAACGCGAAACATTGTCGATTCGGGAATTGTATTGGCACCAAGGTATCATTTTCTGGCCATGCAAAAAGTCCCGGTGGTTAGGACAAAGGTTTTAGCGCACGAGTGGCCGGAGCAGCGGGCTTAAGGGCGATGAGCACGTCGGCTTTGCAGTTTAGTCTTTCCAAAACAAACCACTCTCCATCGTTTTGCTATCAGGCTGCACACTCTTTCTGAACATACAACCTACGTATCGTAGCTTGAGAATTGCTTTATTGTGATAGGCAGAGCTATGGCCTGTGCCCGTGACTTCAGCGCATGAAATAGACCTGCACAGGTTTCCATAATTCCCAAAGTGCATTTTTAAGCCTTCACAATGCGCGGTTGTGGGAATTTGCTCCCCAGTTGAAAGGCATCAACCAGAAATCCAAAACTGTACAACCTATTTAATGGGTCGCGATACATGAATGGTGGCTGTGTGTTCACATAAACGAACAGTGCTTAGGGAGATTATTTGATTGTTTCGGATTCTGGGCGCTGAGACTACTTCGCAGTATGACGACTATGTTTAATGTTTTGCAACAATTCTGATTTCATCGCCATCCTGTCACGGTCTTATTCACGTGCATTGCACCACACGCCCCAGATGTGCACCTAGGACCTAATGATCTCATCACAAATTCGTAGAAAATAGAGCAGGGCGTAAAACACTTTTTGCATTAACCCGCACTATGCAATTAAAATGCCCTGCATCTTAAGAGAGCGTTCGGCGCCAGTGTCTCATTACAGCTGCGGTGAGCCGCTCAGTGGGGCGTCGCTAATTCGAACACTAGGACTATCGAATGTCCGGTACAGGAACCGCTGGGTGTCCGGCACTGGAGGGGCCGCGCTTCCGACAAGGACGCCCGTCCGGCACAGGGAAGGCCTCGTGTTCAGTACTGGACCGGCCGCGTGTCCGGCACAGTACAGGCCGCGTGCACGGCACAGGAGCAGCCGTCCAGCACTATGGCGGTCGTGTGTCCAGCACAGGACAGGCCGCGTGTACGGCACAGGAGCAGCCGTCCAGCACTAGCGCAGCCGTGTTTTCGGCACAGGAGATGTCGCGTGTCTGACACAGGAGAGGCCACGTATCTGACACAGGAACGACCGTGCAGCACTAAAGTGGGAGCACGTTCAGCACTGGAGCTGCCGCGTGTCTTGCACAGAATAGGCAAAGAATCCGGCACAGGAGAGCACGCGTGTCCGGCACAGGAGAGGCCGCGTGTCCAGCACTGGATTGCGTGTGTATGTTCGACGATAGGGTTGGCGCACGTTCGGCACTGGAGCTGCCGCGTGTCTGGCACAGAAAAGGCAATGAGTCCGGCACAGGAGAGCCCGCGTGTCCGGCACAGGAGAGGCCGCGTGTCCAGCACCGGAGTGTGTGTGTGTGTTCGACACTAGGGTTGGCGCACGTTCGGCACTGGAGCTGCCGCGTGTCTTGCACAGAAAAGACAATGAGTCCGGCACAGGAGAGCCCGCATGTCCGGCACAGGAGAGGCCGCGTGTCCAGCACTAGAGTGTGTGTGTGTTCAACGCTAGGGTTGGCGCACGTTCGGCACTTTAGCGGTCGCGTGTTGGGCATAGATGAGGGCGCGTGTCCAAGACAGGGTTGGGAGGTGCTGGCACCAGGCTGTGGAGCGTTTATTCCTCGGCCAGAATCGCCGTTTTTAAAGCATGGACTGATGAGAGGGGGTGGGGAGCAGTGGGGATCAGGGTACGGTTTCGATCCGACACTCTTGCCGTTTCCAAACTAAGATGGAACCTCGCGAAAAAAGGTAAATAGGCCCAACAACATCTTGCGGTCAGTAAAAAGCTGCGTGTTGCTAGGCCAATAATCTGCCTTCATAAGGCAGGTCAAAGGTAAAATTTCCAGCAAATCAATTTTGAACTTCTCATGCCTTTATGCATGAGAGCATGCCTCGTAGCGACACGGGAACTAAACAGCCGTGTTTCCACACATATTTATGTGTAGAAACCCAGAATCAGGTCAGCAGCTGCTGCAGACATAGCTTCCCGCCAGATGCTTATCCAGTCTGCAAGATACCGAGAAAGAGATACAAAGATACAAAGGCTGGTGCACGCATTGACTGACAAAGGCTGGTACACCCATTTAATGACAAAGTCCACAACCTGACTCTGCACTGGGGGCTGGTTGATGGCAGTTTCAATCATGGCAATAAAACTCCTAAAAGCCTGGCCAACACAGTGGCGTATTTGGACCAGGCCACCAATCCTGGCCTCCCGACAAGGGCGTGGGTGATATCAGGTGCAATACCCTTGATCTGGCTCACGTCAGAGTCGTGATGTGCCGCGACCACACCCGACGAAAGTCTGACCCACTGAGGCTCAGCGGTAGATGGATAGAAGCTAAATGTGTGGGCACATGCAAATCGTTCCTCTGTCTGAACACTTGATTAGGTTTTCGTATGACATTGACTGATTAAAGCCCCAGAAACCTATAATTGGAGTTGCAGCCGCTTGAACTGACTACGGATGGATAAAGCCCTCACACCAATTCAAAGCTCTTTACGACAGATGTTCTTAGCTCTTGATAAATGTGCCAGTCACTTGCAATATTATCCTGGAATCAATTCAGCAGGGGATCACGACCATAAAGCTCATTGACGGTTGGCTAATCCTTCATGTAGCATAGCATTTAAAGGATTGAAGATCGCTCGACAAAATAACAAGACTAACTTTCGCTTTGGTAGGGGGGGCAAAACCCCCCTAAGGTTTTTTCAGGATACTCAACGGCATGTCGTGCAACCGAACCCAAAATTTTGTTACATTCTGGGACATTCATTGCGGTTGTTTTGACGTGTTCCCAGCCTCAAGCGATGTTTTGTTCAGGAACACTGCACGGTAGTCAACAGACACCTGTCGACCGGCCAGTTCGCTAAATCTAGGGTATAACGAGCAGCGTGAGATGCCTTCGGCGCCGAACTTCGCCCTCTCACCCCAAAGCTGCTATTTCTCTCAGCAGCAGGAAGCCTCGGATGAATCCGTCAAACATGTGTGGCTCCAAAGTGCTCCATTGACTTCTGAAGGTACAGTACAGATATCCACAAACAAGCCTCCTAGGTCGGCAAAGGTTTTTAACGCTATTACCAAGGACGCCCTCCATGGTAAATCATTAGGACGGGCGCACAGCGCCGTACAGAAACTAACGATTAGCTACGTCCTACGAGCCGAGTCCTTCTCGCGATGCGAACACAACGAACCGCAGCCAACAGCCTTGCGCTAAACTCAATTCGAACCCATCTGTCTCGCACCATGCTTAAAAACGCTGCGTGGCAGACTGC